AAAAACAATAAATAAATTAGAAAGATAAATAAAGACCCGGATAATACAGTACTAACGCTAATAAAGCTAATGTTGATGAGTTAATACTAAATTTTTGAGCAATTTGACTACTAAAAACCTTGATTTTGGTTATTTTAAGCTTTTTACCTTGATCCAATTTATGTAAATTAGATTATATAAATTATAAATAAAAAATAAAAAGCTTAAAATAGACAAAAGACAAATCAAAGATTGTTAAAGTGGACAAAACTCAACTCTTAGCTTTATTAGTATCATACGGGTTCTCAAATTTCAGGGCTAATATCAGCCAATGCAACTTTAAGCACAACAAATCCTTTAGAATTTTATGCTTTTCTTTATAGACATGTAACACGAAATAATATTAATTATTTTTTTCACTGATAAAACTTGATTATTGTAAAAATGACCAATAAAATTAACAAACTGTATTTTTGATTAATTAGTCTATGTGACACCAAAATATATCGGCATTACACGAGAAAGTAATGGCTCAGTATATATACAAAAAAAAAACTTTTGTAAAAAGCTTATGCATGATTTATTACATTAAACGAGATCGGTACCGGCTGAGCCGAATTAGCTTCATTATTAGCCAGGATCACTATTATTCGCTAGTACCCGCAATGATAACCTTTATAAAAATAGATTAATTTTTTTTTTTTAATATAATTTTAAAATATGCATATATATAATTGTACCAATAGAAGTAAAGAACTTACATCATCAATCTTGAGAATCATCTTTACAAGTTGAGTTGCCAATAAATATTGTTGTCTTTTGGAAATAAGAGGGTCATAAACAAATTGTTCTTTCATATCTAGATATTAAATAGAATAAATCAATATAAAAAAATTTATAGAAAAAAGTTATTTATTTAATATATAAAAAATTGTCACCATTAGACCCCTTCATCGTGCAATCAATACCAAGGCGACTATTGTTCTCGGTCACTTGACGTGATTTGATATCAGCCAAAGTTTCTATTGGGGAAAGCCCAGAATTTTCAGCTAATGCCATGGGAATTGCGTCCAAAGCATAGGAGAATGCACGTATAGCATGTTGTTCTATAGATGAAATCTTATAAACATAACAAAATGTGGTATTTATGTGAAAAAATAGCCCGACATTTGAAATTATAATATTAATATGAACTATTATTACCTGATCAGCAG